GGTACACTAATATGTTTTATTTTTCTTAAAATAAGGTAAAGTAAGAACGTAATTTGAAGAAAATGTTTGCTTTTAACTACATCTTTTGGAATTTTTTTGTCTTTATTTTTTGCTTTCCTTTTCCCTTTATTTTACCTTTTTTTGTTTTTTCTTCTTTCCGCACTTTCGTTTCTTCTGCTCTAACTTTCTGATCACCTTTCCTAACTATCTAAATATTTAACTCTAAAAAGAATACCTCAAAATCGTTAAATTATATACGTAAAATTACATAATTCTCAAAAATTATCTGCTCATTTCTTTTAAAAGTTCCTCCTATAAATTCAACATAAGAGTATTCACATGAACTTGGACTGATCAAATCTTAAGTTTCAGTCTCCATGCGAAGGCAGCGTACGCAAAAACTCTAATAGCCCGTTTGACCAAGCTGCAAAAATCAGCTTATTTTGAGAAGTGCTTTTTTCAAAAGTGCTTTTCTCAAAAGTACTTTTAGTGAGAAGCAGTTTGTGTTTGGCTAATTAGTTTGAAAAGCACTTCTGAGCAGCAATTAGTGTTTGGCCAAGCTTTAAAAAAACTGCTTCTAAGTGTATTTTTTTCAAAAGTGCTTCTCAAAAAAGTGCTTTTGGAGAGAAGTTACTTTTTCCTGCTTCTCCAAAACTGCTTCTGCTTCTCCTCAAAAGCACTTTTTTTCCTTCCAAAAGCTTGGCCAAACACCTCAATTTTTGGCAAAAAAAAAAAACTTTTGGCCAAAAAGAAGCTTGGCCAAACAGGCTATAATGAATTTAACAAATTACAGATAAGATACTGATATTATATTGGAGTTTCTATAGGCTTAAACAGGGGAGATGCTTTTCCATTTTTTATTTTCTTTTGCTTCATAGTTCATATGCATCACTCTATCTCCAAGAATACTCATGTATCATAAAATTCAAATTAAAATGAAAAGAATTACGTAATTAATTAGGAAGAACAAAGAAGAACAATCTTGTATAATTGTTACCGTAACGGTTATGGCTAATTTGACATTTACCCTGCATAATTCTGTTAGAATCATAACACATTATTGCGGTCATCGTCATTCTCATTTCCATTTAACAACAGAAGAAGATAACTAAGGCAACTAAAAATTCAAAACGTTAACCATAAAAATCATAACCGTCTCCACCTTAATCATCAAAATGATTGGAGTTTATCTTTCACTGGGCATAATCCATAAACCACCATATTACGAACCAGAATCAACAACTTCTAGTATTATGTATTTTAGCATCCACGATAATTAGCACCAGCCCACCAAATGAATGAGTCGGTATTAATTTTCTTAGAGTATATATAGCCTACCTAAATAGATTTATACTCCAGTTCTTCTGCCAAGTACCGAAGCATTATTCTTCATACTGAGAAAAGTTCTACCTCAAAATCACGTAAAAGGCCCACATTTTTTCCCACAAAGGAAAAAAAAAAAAAGTAAGAAAAGCGAAGAAATAAAATCAAGAACTTTAAATAAATATCTCATGGACGACAAAAAATTCAGTCATCATGATTTTCAAGTTTCATAGCAAGAGAAAAGAAAGAAAAAGACCTTGTACCCGGCTACAGAGCACGCCACTATGCCTGATACATGCAATTGCTGTTAATTATCTGAATTAGAAGCTAGCTCGAGCTTTTACAGCTATGGAGGTCACTGCGAGAGGGGAGAGAGAAGATTCTAGAAGAGGGAGAAGAAACAGAAATTAGAAAATAACCCTCAAAACCATATTAACAACCGGAAATGTAACATATATACATGTCCTAACTAAACAACTGAAAATGAATATCTAATCTAGCCACTTTACATTTAACTAGCCATTACAATATACTAACCACTTTACATAATTAACCAATAATCTCAATACTCCCCCTCAAGTTGGTGCTGTGGAGAACACTGCCAACTTGTGTAGAGCAGCTGAATGCCTAACTCCTGTTAGTGCCTTTGTTAGAACATCAGCCAGTTGATCTGTTGTTCCCACATGATGCAATGAGATCAGACCTTCCTGCAGCTTACTTCTTACAAAATGACAATCAACTTCTATGTGTTTGGTTCTCTCATGGAATACAGGGTTCTTGGCTATGTGCATGGTTGATTAGCTGTCACAAAACACAGCAATTGGCTTGGGAAAAGGTGCTATAAGTTCTTCAAACAGTCGACTGAGCCATACCAATTCCCCTACTACATTTCTTAAAGCTCTATACTCTGCTTCTGCTGAGGAGAGGGAGATAGTGTCCTGCTTCTTTGATTTCCAACTGATTGGGTTGTTCCCCATCAATACAAGGTAGCCACTTACAGACTTTCTAGAATCTGGGCATGCTGCCCAGTCTGAGTCACAATATGCCCTGATTGTGTAGTCTTGATCTTTAGATAGAAATATACCTAAGGTGGGGTCCTTCTTCAGATATCTGAGCAGATGAAAGGCTGCTGTCAAGTGAGGTTTCTTGGGATCATCCATGAACTGGCTTAGGTGCTGTATACTGTAAGCTATATCCAATCTAGTATTGGTGAGAAAGTTGAATTTTCCTATCAACTTTCTGTAATAAGTGGGGTCTGTCAATCTTTCACCTTCTTTGGCTTTAAGTTTCACAGTAGTGTCCAATGGAGAATTGAAGCTGCTATAATCCACACAGTGATACTCTTTTAACAAGTCAAGATTGAATTTTCTCTGGGAGACTATTACACCATCATCTTTGTAGAGAATTTCCAAACCTAAGAAGTAATGTAGTCTGCCCAAATCTTTTATTTTGAAACTATTGTTCAAGAATGTCTTCAATTCTGTGATTTCCACAATATCAGTCCCTGTGACTACAATGTCATCAACATACACTGCTATATAAACAGTGGACTCTTCAGTTTTCTTACAAAACAGAGAATAGTCATACATTGAATGTGCATAGCCCCTTGAGCATGGTGCTTCAGTTAGTTTAGCATACCATTGTCTACTTGCCTGCTTGAGGCCATCGAGAGATTTGTTAAGTTTGCAAACTAAGTTTGGGTTGTCAACTGCCAAACCCTGTGGCACCTCCATGTACACTTCTTCATTCAGATCTCCATGTAGGAATGCATTATTTACATCCAGTTGTGACATGTACCACCCTTTCTTCACATCTATGGCTATTAATGACCTCACAGTTGTCATCTTAACTACAGAGGAGAAGGTTTCTGTGTAGTCAATTCCAGCTTGTTGGGTGCATCCTTTCACAACTAGCCTGGCTTTAAGTCTCTCTACACTACCATGTGCCTTGTATTTTATTTTATATACCCACTTACACCCTATGGCTTTCTTCCCATCAGGTAAGGGAACTAAGTCCCAAGTGTGATTGGCATGTAATGCCTCAAATTCTTGGGTCATGGCTGTTTGCCAAGTAGGGTTCACAGCTACCTCCTCATAAGATGAGGGTTCATTGTTACTGCAGATATCTCTCATAAGACTTTGACTTTCAAGAGTCAGGGCATCAGGGGTGATATGGTGGCAATTAGAAAATGATGCACTAAGAGAAAAAGGTGCAGCAGAGCTAGTGGAAGCAACAGAACATGATGGTTTTAGTGCAGGGAGTGAATGTAAGTAGTCTTGCAAATATGCAGGTGTTTTATGTGGTCTTTGTGATTTTCTTAGGATAACAAGAGTATTAGCATACTGGTGAACTATTGGTGATGAAATGTGATCTGGGAGTTGAGATACATCAGGCTGTGGCAAGGGACAGGATGGACTCTCAGAGTTGTTGTTTGGTTCATGGTGCTGAGATGGGTTATGTGTAATACTAGGGCCATTATCACTTTCATAAGCAAAATCAGTACCTTCTTGAGTTTTATCAATGGATGGAACATTAGTAAGGATAGAGGGAAAACAAGAATTATCAGGGGATAAAGCAAAAGGAAACACACTTTCAATGAAGACAACATCTCTAGATACAGATATCCTTTTGGTGGCAAGACTCAAGACCTTGTACCCTTTGACTCCATGGGGATAACCAATGAATATGTGAGGAGATGTTCTAGGTTCAAACTTGTCTCTGTGTACTTTTGGTACAGATGGGTAACAAAGGCATCCAAAACTCCTCATGTGGGAGTATGTTGGTCTTTTGTTATAAAGTAGTTCAAAGGGAGATTTAGGGTGGCTATGAGAAGAGGGTAGTCTGTTTATGATATATGTTACACATAGAATGCATTCACCCTAGTATTTTATAGGTAGTTTTGATTGGAATAGAAGTGCCCTGCCAGTTTTTAGGAGATATTTGTGTTTTCTTTCCACTATGCCATTCTGTTGGGGTGTATAAGGGCAAGTCTTTTGATGGATTATGCCTTTAGATTGGGAAAACATGTTTGCTTCTGTACTGGTGAACTCTGGCCCATTGTCAGACCTAATTATCTTGATTTTTGTGTTAAACTTGGTTTCAACCATAGAGACAAATGTTTTCAAGACTTGTAATGCATTACTTTTGGATGAAAGAAGGTTGGTCCAAGTAGACCTACTATAGTCATCCACCAATGTGAGGAAGTATTTGTAGTTATCATGGGTTGTCACATGGTAAGGTCCCCATATGTCTATGTGCAGAACTTGGAATATTTTTGTGGAAAAGTTTGTTTTCTGGGGAAATGGCAGTCTTCCTTGTCTGGCCATTGGACAAATAGAGCAGAGAAAAGGCTGTTTTGGGTAAAAGGAAATTGGGATAGAGGTAATCCCTCTCATTTTGACAAAGGGTACATGCCTAAGTCTATTGTGCCACAAAACATTGAGATCATGGGATACAGAAGATGATACAGAAGAATTCAGACTAACATTTGTATTATTCAAACATGGGACATTTACATGTGGAGGGAAGATACACACTTTTTTGTGGACAATGAACTATATACATGTGAATCAGTGTGACAATGTGAGTTGTGTGTGCAAAGAGAATTACTGACAGAGGAACCTGAATAATTGTTTCTCAGACATTTTGGGCAAAGAAGATATAGCCCATCACAAGCTTTACCAATCTCCAGAGGCCTCTTCATTGAAGGGGCCTGCAGAACACAAAGGTTGTTAGTGAAAGCCACTAGGCTCCTAGGATTCACACTAGTCAGACCATGAATGGAAATGAGATTGTATCTAAATGAGGGTACAAACATTACTTTATGCAAAGTGATATCAGGCACAAGAGTTACACTACCAATTTCAGTTACTTTCACTTTGTATCTATTTGGTAAAACAACTAGGAGAGGATAAGGTAATGTTATAATGTTGGTCAGTAAGGTTTTATTGAAAGTCCCCCTGAGTCCAGAATCCAAGACTCAGCCTTGTTTTTGAGACACTGACATGACAATTTACCAAAATCTATAGAGGAAGTGCAGACTATTATACCTGCAAAGTTCACAGCTCCATTGATAGAATTGTTGACAGTTGCATTGTCTCCTCCATTACCAGATTGAAAGTGTTGAAGCAAATTCAGAATTTGTCCGTAATGCTCCTTCGACAGGCTGATGTTTTGGTCTGTGTTCAAGTCACTTTGTTCTTCTCCTTTGGTGGATAACATTTCGGAAGAATGATCTCCATGCACATTGGCTACTATTCTCTTTCCTTTATTAAAGTTCTGGTTGCGATTAAAACCCTGGTTCTGGTTGAATTGTTGATTTGGATTGTAATTTTGATTGCGAAGGTATCCAAAATTCTCAGGGTAGCCATGTGGTTTGAAACATTTGTCCTTGGTGTGCCCTGGCTTCTTACAGTAATCACACATAGGTCTCCCCCTTCCTTGTCCAGCATGATTGTTGTTATTAGGTGAATAGTTGGTTCTATAGCCACTAGATCTGGAATTGGTAACATTCATGGAGGTTGATTCAACGAACAACTGAGTATGTGGTTTGATTTCTCTTTGCTTCTCATCTTGTATTAGGAGAGAAAAGGCTTGAGCAAGATTAGGGAGTGGGTTTATCATGAGGATGCTACCTCGGATCACAGTGTAGGTTTCATTTAGCCCCATGAGAAATTGTATTAATCGCCTATCCTGTTCAGCTTTGTAAATATTTTCCTTTGCTCCACAGGTGCAGTTACATGTGCATTGGGATTTCTTGCTTAAGGTGCTCAACTCTTCCCAGAGCTTCTTCAATTTGGTATAGTAGCTGGTAATGTCAAGAGTTCCCTGAGATGTATCATTTATTTCCTTTTGTATTTGGTATAATCTGGCTCCATTCGTCTGTTCATACCTGTCTTCCAGCTCGATCCATAACTCCATGGCATCATTTACATATTCAATGCTATCTGCTATCTTTTTTGACAGGGAATTAAGGATCCACGAAGTCACCATGTCATCACAACGTTCCTACTAGCGAAATGTGGGTGACTGGGGATCTGGGCGCTTACATTCGCCATTTATGAACCCTAGCTTGTTCTTCACTGATAGACCTCGCAGTACACTGCGCCTCCATGAACGGTAGCCAACGCCACTGAAGGCGACGGAGACAAGCATAGCTCCGGGATTGTCCGATGGGTGCAAATACAAAAGATCACCAGGATCAATTCCGGAATTTCCTGGANGATGAGATGTGTGATTATTGTACCTTAGAAGTGAAATCCCCTTCTCCGACGTGAAATTAGGGCAAAAATGAAACTTCTTCTGACGAACAATCGAGTTGAAAGAAAACTCAAAAATGACGGACACAAAGGAGAGAGAAAGTGACAGAGATATAACAGATCGGAACGGCAAGCTCTGATACTATGTTAATTATCTGAATTAGAAACTAGCTCGAGCTTTTACAGCTATGGAGGTCACTGTGAGAGGGGAGAGAGAGAGAGAAGATTCTAGAAGAGGGAGAAGAAACAGAAATTAGAAAATAACCCTCAAAACTATATTAACAACCGGAAATGTAACATATATACATGTCCTAACTAAACAACTGAAAATGAATATCTAATCTAGCCACTTTACATTTAACTAGCCACTTTACAATATACTAACCACTTTACATAATTAACCAATAATCTCAATAATTGCTTTCCAAGTAAAGTAAAAAAAAAAAAATAAAAGAGGGAGAAATTAAAAGGGACCTGCAATTCTTTAAGTAAAGTATGGTGAGCTTGTACGTACAAACATTGATACAAAAACAGGTCACAAAGGGTTAAATTTGATGGTATTCTTCTTTCAATTTCCAGAAGAGACATACTAAATTTAAATTTAACATTCAAATATATTATACAAAAGACACATTAACATTACCATCAACAACTTGCTTAAAGAATATCACAAAAAAATAAATAATAATAATCACATATTCAAACATCACTTATATTAGAAACATACACCGCCAAATTTACTTGCAATGCGATCCTTCAGTTTGTAAGGTAATGTCCCAAACCTTAGTAAAGGAAGACTGCATGATCTTTATGTCATTCTTCTTTAGGTAATAATATGGCATGAATAATTACAAATTTGTTCTCTAATTTGTAACGCCACTAAAAGGTAAAAAAGTGCATGCTTTGAGCAAAAAGCTCCAATTTATTATATTTCCTTCAGGGAATATTCAAAAAAAAAAAAAAAGGAAAGACAAAAATAATGATCCTAACTAAATTAAAAGTTTGTATAACAAAACACGTTCCATTACCGTAGGGGCACAAAAAGGGCAAAAGCTTCAGCAATTCAGTATGCAAATGGATTAGCATTTCTGGAAATCGTAATCGAGTTATGTAAATTGAAATAAGAAAAATCAACTCAATTCTAAAGGGACAAACTGACAAAAAGATTTGGTAGAGAATGATAAAGAATATTCTCACCACGCACGAATGAAGATTGGGGATAAAAGATCATGATCTATCTGTATATTCCTCCCATGAGTTGATGGCATGTTATTAATAGTAGTCGTCATTGAAGGTGAAGTTATTTAGATAATTAGTAATAGAGACTTTTCGACTTTCTAAACTGAACAAAAATTGGCTAGAAGATGAGTAACGGTCTAACGGAGGTGTAATTAACAGAATACAATTAAGAAGTGATTTTTGAATATTTTAGTGTAGCAGAAAATAGAGAAAAATAGGAAAAGACCCAAAGATTTGAGGAAAAAGATAAATATGATTCTTGGCCAAAGAGACATGCCACCTCACTTTTCAATTCCCCTCTTTAATATATATATATATATATATATATATATATATATATATATATATATATATATATATATATATATATATATAGATGGTTTTTTGTCTCGTAAAAGTCATAAATAACATACTTTGATATTGCGGAAGATATTTTATCTTGGCAAAATATTCTCTAGATCATTTTCAAAGCATAAAATTGAGATGTGAAGCAAGTGATAAGGAATAACATTGAGATATTTTGTAACGAAAAATGACTTCAGCTCTAAAGCAAAGAGAGTAAATTTCTCATTTTAGTGGAAAATATTTTTATTTGAAAATAATCCATTACTCACACTAAACTATGAAAATAACTTCCTCCAGATAAATTTTTTTCTTCTAAATTTTTTTATATGATATTAAAAAGAAAACCAAATAGGAGGATTGGATAGGTTAAGTGCCAATGTGCTATAATATAGGGATTTTTTTACGCAATATAGCTGCTCTCCGAAATAATAGTCAGTATATATATATATATATATATATATATATTTTTGATGACCGACCAAACGTGTTAGAATCCTAATAGAGAAATTTTTATAAAGCACTATCTTTTAGTGGTAATTAGCTATCTATAGATACCAGTTGCTATATTACGCCCTGTAGATACGTTTTACGTTTTTATAAGATGTATTTGATGTATTTAGACTACTGTATTCATGAATACAATAGGAAAAATAGGCGTGAATCATGGAAGTCCAGCTAATCAGTTGTTGTATTCAACTGTATTCAAGAGTTGTATCATTGAATACAGTAACGTATATTCCTTAAAAAAAGGGACCTTTCAACTGATTTAAAACGGAAAGGAAATCAATCTAGAAAATAGTCTCCTAATATAACTCAACTAACACAATTATATCACCCATAATCTGTAATTCTCCCTTCATTAAAGATCCGAAAGTATCAAAAAACAGAGCAAATTGTGGATTCTCAATTCTCCCTTCTTTCTTTTCCGTTCCTTTGTTACAGTTCGTACAAAACAAATTTCAACCAAGAAAACTCGAGATTGATACAATTATATACAGAAATACGTTGAAATTCGATTTTGCATATGACTACATCAATGTACCTCTAAATCACATGAAAATTATTCCATGGAGTTATTTTTTCCGTTAAATTTAGTTATGGATTTAAATTTACTTGTGTCTGTGCAGATTCCTAATGAAGTAGTTATCCCGGTTTGTCTCCATTTTTGTGAAACTATTCCTCAAGCAAGGCAGGTCGTTTGTAATTCTTCGATTCCGCGCGGTCGACTTTCTATTAATAATTTTGGGAATTCCATAAAGATTATGACCTGGATCAGATCGATTCTTTTTTGAATCTCTATACGTGCAATTCCCTCGACGCCAGAGGACGTTCTCATATTCTTTTGTACATAATTCTTGATACAATCTCTTATTTTTTGATCTTCTTGTAAACCTTCAGAATAATTTTTTGGTTGTGAAAACCAAAGGGAATAATGACTTCTGTGCAAATTTACTTATGTCTGTGCAGAAACATTTGTTACTTCGTAGAAGCGCTTCAATATTTCTGATTTCGAGAGAATTTATATCAACGATCAGAAATGGCTGCTTCTGACATTAACAGAAGCTTGGTAAGTGAACTTGAAGCAATGGGATTTTCAGAGGCTCGAGCCACCAAGGCTCTTCATTCTTCCGGTATGGTCATCCTTTTGGTATTAGATATATTCAAGGAAAATATTTGCTCGTGTATTCACTTGAATAACATAGGAGACAATTTTAACATACCTTTTGCTTCTGAAGTAGTATATAACTGTTAGGCTATATCGGTTGTTAATTCAATCTGTATTATCTAGCTAAAACATGCCATTTTCTATGGGAAAGCTCTCCAAACAAATGGTTTTTTCCCCTACCTCTCAGTCTCTCCATTGTGCATTTTTTATTGATTATGTATTAATAATACATGTATTGTTGTGGAGCATTATGCTAGTACAGAAGAATTGAATGTAAAATCAAATTGTATGTATATGTATTTAGTTGTATTTGTGAAAAGTTACTTGACCTTCACTGTTGTTCTTTTTTTATTTTTTATGTATTAATAATACATGTATTCTTGTGAATACAGTGTCTCTAACTGTTTTTTATTAAATATATACGTTGTATTAAAATGTATGCTTATAAGTATAGGTGTATTCAGACATGTTTAAATGTATAACAGTGTATATATTTGTGTTGTATATTCAAATGTAGGTGGTGCCATCGACTGAATATTTGCATACGGTGAACGATGAAGGAAGGCATTACACCGTATGCCTCTTAGAGAGAAAATGCAGTTGTGGGCGGTTCCAAGTCGACGAATTACCGTGCCCACACGCTTGGGCTGTCCTGAAGAGCAAGTTTCTAATGCCAGAAGATTATTGCTCTGATTATTACAAACCAAAGTCTGTTGTAATGACATATGAGGTACCCGTGTATCCTTTGCCGGACCGGAAAGAATGGAATATACCAGCACATATAGCAGATGAAGTTTTATTACCACCCAAATGGAAAAGACCTCCGTGAAGACCAAAGAAGAAGCGTGATAAGCCGTTCATTGAATTGCTGCAGAAGAAAAATCAACATTCGTGTAGCATATGTGGGCAGGAAGGACATAATAAGCGTACTTGTAGAAATGCTCCATGTAGAAATTAGTTCACATTCTGACTTGTATTAATGCAAAACGATTTATTATTGGAACCAGTTTCATTTCAAATATATTTTGGATATACTTAGTTGGTGTATTAGATCTGAATTCGTAATTAAAATACGACTATCATATCTTCATTACATCTGAATATAGATGAATACAATCATTGAATACATATGATTACACTCGGTTATATACATAAGATATGATTGTATCATAGGAAATCAGAGATTGAATATGATTTCTAAATATTAAATACATGTATTCAAATACACATGAATACATATTCATACAATCTGCTATACACGTATAGATGTCTAAATATGTATTGTACAAAGGTCTAAATAGACTTGAATACATATGCATATAAATGAATACAGATGAATAAAATCAGTTATATACATAAGAAGTATTCAACATACAACTGAATACATATTAATGCAATATATTATATAAATATGAAGGTCTAAATACACCTGCTAAAAATATGTGAACATACTCTGCTGAATACATATAAATACAACTTAATGAATATAGATAAATATATCATGTTGAAATACAGATCAATACAATATGGTAAATTATAATATAAATGCAACCTGTCGACTTGTTATGAATGCAATAAGTTTGATAGAGAGTAATACAGTAAGTTGAATACTGACTGATACAATAAGTTGAATACATATCAATACAACATGTTGCATACATATCAATACAAACTGTTGCAAACATACTTAAAAAGCAACAGGTTGAAGTACAAAAACAGTCAATACATCGATTGGATGCTTGAAATAATAGTATATAAACACTGTTGATATGGTCAATAAATATAAAAAAATGTGCTAAACTAACACCATCTTTACCAACACACTGTCCAAAAAAACAGTATTCACAAAAAACTCCCATCGAAAACTACATTCACCTAAGACTACTTTAACATTATCTTAACCGACGTATTAGAATCAGTGATATGCCTAAGAATATTTGAAGGTGCTTCGCTCTCGCTTATGGCATCAGCGTCTATCTTCCGCATAGCATAGTCCCAAAGGAGGGCACTATATCTTTGACGGAGTAAATTGGGATCAAATTTTGTTTGTGAAACCAAACCAACGGTTCTCAAAAACTCTGCGTATGCCACGACATGCACCCCACAATCCCTGAAAGAATACATTAAAACAGTTACAAACAAGAATTTAGAAAAGGTTTCATATTCATCATCAATACATAAAGTCATTAAGTGTTATGAATACATATAAATACAACTAGATACAGTTAAATATTCAAATACATATTCATACCATTGAGTACAACACAGTAAAGATCTGCATACAATATGCAAAGAAATCTGTAATAAGTACGGAAACACAGTGAATGTAAATTTGAATACATCTAAATACATTTAAATACAACATATAATAACTAAGTAAGTACAACTCAGTGAATGACATTGTAAATGTGCAAATGAGTTCTGGATTGTTTAAATACTTATGAATACAACTAAATACATATGAATACATCAACATACATATAAATCACATGAATAATTATGACTACATCAATGTACCCCTAAATCAGTTGAACAACTTTGAAAGCATATTGATACAATAACAATTACCTTTTCGTGCCGTGTATCCGAGCTTTTTTTTGCATCAATTTCCTTAAACTTGACACATGAAGAATCATTCATAGGTTTTTTACTCTTTTTCGCAACTGGAATTTTTGTTTCTTTTAAGGATTTCTCAACTTGGACTTCTTTCGATTTGTCATTGTGTAATTTAGTTCTTCTCTCTGAAGCTGTAGTTGCTGATACACCTAGAAATTCCGACTCCGCTTGAGTTATTTGCAACGAGAAAGAGGGCCCATCAAAATTGAGAATTTTGGTGGGTATACCTTTGGTTACCATCTTGTGTGACGAGGAATCCGACATTGGAGAGAAAAACGATAGTTATCTGTTGAGTAAACAATAACAATGGTTATTGTTTAAGAAGCAAACAAAAATCTGTATCAAAATCGAAGAAGCTAAATACTTTTATCAAAATCTAAGAAGCTAAATACTTACCGCAAGAACTTGTAGCAAGAAATAAAACCACGATTTTAGAGAGAAACTAACTGGGAGTGATAATGGGGGAGACCTAGCGAATTTGGGTGGGAGAAGAAGTCTGAAATGTGGTTTTGTGGGAGAAGAGAGTAAAGTGTATGAAAAAAGAGAGAGAGAACGTGGTTTGTGAAATTTACCGTGATTATGTGAGAGAAAATCTTAAAAGGAGAGAGAAAAATATTAATTAGCGTATATGGTGCCTTAAGTATAAGATGTAACCATAATTAAATAGTTTTCTATAAAGGGTGAAAGGTAGCTATATAATATAATTTTTTTTAAAAGGTATTTATTTAAAATAAATAGGGTATTAAGCTTTTCTATAGGGTGTAAAAATTGCATCCTAATATACTGGTATTGAGGGCCCAAAACCGATGAACGGGTTTATAAGATAGAGCCCAAAGAATGAAGAATTAACCCAAAGAATGTAAATCTGATTGGATATGAAACTCAATACTGGGTCTAGGCCCTAAAATTAGCGATTCGCGAGGCCTGACCTTTGTTTGTTAAGGCCTAAGCTCTCAATGGGGGGATTTGCATCTATACCCGCTTTTTGGGTCACGTTTTAACTTGTACTCGCTTTGCAAAAAAAATTGCAAGCGTACTTTTTCACGTAACTTCAGCATACGGGCCTGAAGTAGCAAATGCAATCACGTAAACTTCAGCATTTTAGTAGATGGGCTTGAAGTAGCAAAAATTGCTGAACCAAGTGTGGTGAAGTTTTTGTTTGTAATTGCTGAACTTAAGCATTTTAGTGCTGAAGTTTTGTTCTCTATTTGCTGAAATTTTTATTTGTAATTGCTGAAATTAAGCATTCTAGTAGCTGAAGTTTTGTGATGCTGAAGTTATTTAGTTCATTTGTAAAAACTTCAGCACTAAATAAGCTGAAGTTTTTTGTCCTGGATTGATTAGTTTTGTCATAAAGCTTTTTCAAAAACTTCAGCAGAAGATGCTGAAGTTATTTAGTTCATTTGTAAAAACTTTAGCACTATATAAACTGAAGTTTTTGAAAAATCTTTCTAACATACTAGATAAATAATCATCTTATTCTTTCATAGTGTATTACTACTATAAATTAATCAGATTGCCAACAGTATCTAAATCATAAATTTTGGAAACAATAAACGTGAAAAGAATAGAATTATCATGAAAAGAATCACTAAGTGTGACCTTAAACTTCCTGTACGTGGAAATATTCACAAATTATTGTCTACTAACTTACGTAATTATTTATAATTTGTTTTTAAATAATCTGATAAAAATACTTATGGCAATCATCCCATGAACTGAAGTTTTATAGCAACACCAGAATAAAGAAGAAGAAGAAGAAGAAGAAGAAGAAGAAGAAGAAGAAGAAGAAGAAGAAAATGAAGGAGGAGAAAGGGGCTGAAGTTGTTAAAAAGTGGGTACAAGTTAAAACTTTTTAAAAGAAATGGGTATAGTTAAATGGGGGCGACCAAATAGGGCGCCCCGTGCAATTTTTACCTCTCAATGCTTAGGTAACCTTCTTCAGGAAAAATTACTACTATTATTTGTATTCAACGGAAACACAGAGTTTAGTTATCAATTAAGAAACCCATTAGTTTCAGATTAAGATATACTAAGTTTGTTTTTGTACGAATTTGAAGAAGAAATCTCTTAATTGAAAAGGTTTTCTGTGTATTGAATGAATCAATTTGCGATGGTGGCTCCTTTCGCGCAGGGGACATTGTCGGAGAACAATGTCGGGACAGAGTGAGAACCTTCAGTTGGTTACGCCCTTGTTGTATCGGTTCCCTTTTTTTTATTTCAAAATAGCGATACACTCTAAATAAAGTAAAGGAGAAGCTTCCATTCTAGAAGCTACGCTTCCCGCCTCCCTCAAGGTGAGAAGTTCCCTTCCCTTTTCTAAAATGCAAGAGTGGTCTACTCAATCCCTGAATGTCGTCGGGTACTGTTAACTTCCCCGTCATTCTTGTAACTGTCACCTGTAATCCGCGGATACCTTATAGCTTCATAGTTACAAATCAACTTCAATATGGATTTACTTTGGAAATTACTACGACGTAGTGGCAAAGACGAACCCAAAATTTAAAATCCACGAGTTTAATATTGTCCCTATTTATATTTGAGAAAACTACCCTCTATAGCCCCTCAAAATTTTAATAGCCCGATGTTTTTTTCACTTACACGAAATGGCCCTTCGGCCCAAACATATTACATCTAATATCCCGAAATATCTATTTTGTATTACTTTTTTAAAATGACAGTCTATTTTGTATAGTGACAGTCTATTTTGTATAATGACAATCTATTTAGTAGTATATATTTCGTATAATGACAGTCTATTTTGTATATATTTTGTATAATGACAGTCTAGTGTATATAAATTATATAGTGACAGCCTATTTAGTATATTTTTGTACATTGACAGTCTATTTTGTATATATTCTGTATAGTGACAGTCTATTTTGTGTAGTGACAGTCTATTGTATATAAATTGTATAGTGATAGTCTATTTTAATATATTTTTTTGTATACTGACAGTCTATTTAGTATATACATGTTGGACTAATATTGAGCCATGTATTTAAATTATTTGTAGTGTTATGATGTATGTTTAGTTTCAGTTTAGTATTTTGTATTTCAGTTGACCCGGTTGTACATGGATTGTATATAAATGACATGTAGTTCCACTTTGGAACTAAGATACCCAGTTTTCATCAAAATATCTGGCAGCTCCCATTCTATCGAACCTTCTGTTCTCTCTTGTTCATGTATGATTTCCTATTATCTCATCAAATACAACATGTTATCAGAGCTTTCTATCAAAGATCCAACGTAGATTTTGTGTTTTCATAGCTTCATTTCTCTGATTTTCTAAGTTTCAGAGGAATCACAAAAAAAAAAACTAGGCTATAACTTTATTTTTTTTGTTCAATTTTCCAAATTTGGCGGCTGTTTGTTGATCGATTATGCTGGATTTGACGTTTTGGAGCTATTATCTTCAGTTTCACCGGAGAGATTTCCAGATTTGGGTTTTTTTTGTCTTCGCACATGTGTGAATCAGTTACGATGGCATTTTCCGGTCTGGTGGTTTCCTGGAGGTTCATCTTTGATTTATAGTATCTTCGTCCTTATCTCTGCGAATTTTTGGTAAGCTCGGGTTGCATCTCCTCCTCGATTGCTATTCTTGACAATTTCTCTTTGCTAGTATTGATTGTTTCTGTGGAATCATGAGTGACATACATGACGACAGTGATTCCGAACTTGAACTTGAACCTGCCTTACCTTCATCTCATCCTTTTTTTTCTACATCCGTCTGATAATCCTGGTATTATGTTAGTAGCTAAACAATTTAATGGTTCATGCTTTGGGGCTTGGAGGAGAGGGATCATTATAGCTTTGTCTGCAAAAAAAAAAAAGATAGGTTTCATCAGTGGTGCATATGTTAAACCATCTCTTACTTCTTCACTATACGAACCATGGGAACAGTTTAATAATATGGTGATTAGCTGGATTTTGAATTCTCTAGATCCGAGCATAGCACAAAGTGTGATATATTCCAAATCTGCTAAAAGTCTTTGGGATGAATTGAATAAGAGATATGGTCAATCCAATGATGCTAGGATGTATGAGGTACAGAAGGACTTGAACTCTATCTCTCAAGGTTCCTCTGATGTCAGTGGTTATTCTACTAGGATAAAAAGGTTGTGGGATGAGATGGAATCTCTAGATGCTGACTCTTATTGTATGTGTGAGTGTACCTGTGGGGGTAAACACAAGATGATCAAAAGAGAACAGAATAAAAAACTAATGTAGTTTTTGATGGGTTTAAATGAAGCATATAGTAATGCTCGGGGAAACATTCTTATGATGGAGTCTCTTCCAGACATCAGTAAAGCTTACTCACTGATTATTCAGGATGAGAAGCAAAGGGGTATACATAATGTGCCTATTTTCCAATCTGACTCTGTCTCATTATCTGTCAGGACAAGCTACAATCAAAAAGCACCACAATCTGTCAATCCTAATCAGAGATACAATTTCAACAACCGCACAACTCAGAATTTCAACAATCCTACTACTCAGAATTTCAATAATCAGAAGGGTTATGTTGACCCTAAGAAGTTGTTTTGCAAGTATTGCAAGAAAAACGGGCATGTGATAGAAAAATGCTACAAACTTCATGGTTTTCCTCAAAATTTCAAGTTTGGAAATAAGAATGTGCGGATTGCTGCTAATGTGCTTTCTTCTGCGGATCCAAAATCTTATGGTGGTCCTGACACTGCTCTTTCCCCAAATACAATTACTCCAGAACAATACGAGCAGATCATGAATATTCTTCAAAATGTTCAGGTTGATGATCCACAGAATCAGAATCAGTCCGTCTCTAGTGCAACTAATTTTACAGGTATACTGCCTATTATTCTCTCTCAATCTACAGGAGTTGTGCTTGTCTAAGTAGTGTGCTAAATTCTGATACTTGGATTTTAGATTCTGGAGCATCAGATCACATGACCTCCAACAAATCATTACTCACCAATTTAACTAACCTATCTATCCCATATCTTGTCACTTTACCTAATGGCTATAAAGTGAAAGTCACATCTATTGGCACTGTCCAAGTCAATTCCCATGTTACTTTGTCCAAAGTTCTATATGTGCCTACTTTCAAGTATAATCTGATTTCAGTTCACAAACTTTTAATTGATACTTCTTCTCTAGTATTTTTTACGCAATTTTCATGTTACTTACAGGGCCCTTCTCCGAAGAAGCCATTGGAACTTAGTAAGATGGCTGAAGGGCTCTACTTGATCAATCCCAGAATTTCTTCAACTTCTTCTACTACAGAATCATATTCTCCCTCAACTTTCATTCCTGTTCCTATATCTGTTCATGTAAATATAATAAATGTAAATAAGTCCTATGTTTTGTGGCACCATAGATTGGGACATCTTCCATTTTCAAAGTTGCAGAGAATAGAATATTTGAATGTTCCTACATGTAATAGAAAACCTTTCCTTTGTGAAATTTGTCCTCTTGCTAGACAACAAAGACTTCCTTTTTCTCACAATGAATCTTTTTCTTCTCATCTATTTGATCTTATTCATGTGGATGTTTGGGGACCATATCACACTGCAACACAAAAATTATATAAATATTTCCTGACAATTGTGGATGATTATAGTAGATATAGATGGACACATCTTCTTAGTCACAAAAGTAATGCATTGTCTGTCCTAAAATCTTTCTTTTGCATGATTGAAACCCAGTTTAACATCAAAATTAAAACCATAAGAACAGATAATGCCTTGGAACTTGGAACCAGTCGTGAAGCCACAACATATTTCCTCTCCAAAGGTGTGATGCACCAAACTTCTTGTCCCTATACACCTCAACAAAATGGCATTGTCGAAAGAAAGCACAAACATTTGCTGGAAACAGCAAGAGCCCTATTGTATCAGTCCAAACTTCCCATTAATTTCTGGGGTGATTGTATTTTTACTGCAGCATATTTGATCAATCGATTTTCCAGTTCAGTGTTATCTGGGAAGACCCCATTTGAGCTTCTTTTTGGTCAAAAAACCTTCCTACAATCATATGAGAAGTTTCGGTTGCTTGTGCTATGTAGTGGTTCCCAAATCCCTAAGAAATAAATTTTCCCCAAGATCTAGTGCTTGCATATTTTTAGGCTATCCCCTGGAAAGAAAGCTTATAAATTACTACAACTTTCAGATAAGAAGATTCTTATTTCCAGGGATGTCGTCTTCCATGAGGACATCTTTCCTTATTTAGCTTCATCTACTCCCACAATTTTATTTCCAACCCCGCCACGTTACATAGATTCAGATTCTTCTCTTACTCCCTCCAGTTCATCTTCTTCACCTCAGGATTCTGTTATACAGTCTTCTACTCTTTCTCCTTCCTCTACTTCTTCTGAATCTCATCTTTCACCTGTTTCACCTGGCCCTTCCCCTTCTCCTGTCCTAGCAGCTCGATATCCCTCCAGAATTCATCATCCTCCTTCATAGTTGAATGATTACCTTTGTAGTTTTTCCTCTTCTTTTCCTCCCACTTTAACTTCTATCCCCGCCTCTCCACGATCTGTATGCTTCAGCACCTTAAGTTCACGTAATCAGAGTTTAGTTCACACCTTAGATACTGTACTTGAGCCATCAACTTATCAACAGGCAGCCTTGTAGCCAGCCTGGTGGGAGGCAATGTTGAAAGAATTTGAGGCTCTTGAGGCTAATGGGACTTGGGATGTGGTTCCTTTACCCCCTGGGAAGAAACCAATCGGTTGTAAATGGGTGTATAAAATAAAACATAAGGCCGATGGTATCATTGACAGATTTAAAGCTCGGTTAGTTGTAAGAGGTGATACACAACAAGAAGGTATAGACTATAATGAAACTTTCTCCCCGGTTGTTAAGATGACGACTATTAGATCTATTATAGCTGTGGCAGTCAAAAAAGGTTGGGACATATTTCAATTAGATGTCAATAATGCTTTTTTGCATGGGGATTTAGATGAGGAGGTGTACATGAAAATACCTCAAGGTATGATGGTGGCTGGGAATAACATGGTTTGCAAGTTAAGGAAGTCCTTATATGGCCTCAAACAGGCCTCCAGACAGTGGTACTCCAAGTTAAGTGATTCTCTTATTTCTTTGGGCTACACAGTCTCTAAAAATGACTACTCATTGTTCATTAAATCTGATGTTGGTCATCTTACGATTGTTGCTGTTTATGTTGACGATATTCTTTTAACTGGAAATGATGATAAGGAAATGGCTGCCCTTAAACTGTTTCTAGATGAACAGTTTAAAATTAAAGACCACTTGCATTATTTTTTGGGTCTGGAAATTCTGGCTGAATCTGGTGAATAGTTTGCCAAAGGAAGTTTGCACTGGATCTTTTGTTTGAATATGATCACCTGGACTGCAAGTTCGTCGCCGGCCCTTTGGTCACTAATTTGACATCTTTAGTCGAGGCTGGGGAGCCCCTATCAGATCCTGTTCTTTATCGGAAATTGGTTGGAAAATTAAATTTTCTCACTAATACTAGACCTGATTTGGCTTTTTCTGTTCAACATCTTAGTCAATTCATGCATGCTCCCACCTCTGCTCATCTATCTGCTGCTTATCATGTTCTTAAGTATGTTAGAGGCACATTGGGTCAAGGACTTTTCATGAATGCTGATTCTGATCTTTCTCTCCAAGCCTATGTGACTCGGATTGGGCGGCTTGTCCGAGTTCTAGAAAGTCTGTGAGTGGTTATTTGGTATTACTTGGTGGCTCTCTTCTTACGTGGAAGTCGAAAAAACAACATACTGTTGCTTTATCTTCGGCTGAGACTGAATACCGTTCCATGAGAAGAGTGGTAGCTGAGCTTGCCTGGCTTACCAGGCTACTTCATGAACTTTTTGTCACTTCTATTGTTCCAGTTCCTGTTCATTGCGACAGTCAGTCTGCCATTTACATTGCTCGGAATCCTGTCTTTCACGAGCATACCAAACATATCGAGCTAGATTGTCATTTCGTCCGTGAAAAACTTCATGATGGGCTAATCTCATTGTCCTATGTTCCCAGCAAGTTGCAATTGTGTCACGACCCAATTCCCGAACCCGATCGTGATGGCGCCTCTCGTGAAGACAAGGTCAGCCAGACCAATACTGAACACCTCTTTTAAGCAGTTAATCATCATTAAGCAATTATGAAGCATGATTTAATAACAATAATTTGCGAAAACATAGATAATAATAGTAAAACCATCCCGACACAGCCCAAACCGGGGTGTCACAAGTCATGAGCATCTATTAGAGTGAAATTACAACTACAAAGCCGGAAATATACAAAATAGGATTTATAAATAAAAGGAAGAAATGCAGTGTCGCGAACGCTGGCGGTCACCTCGCTCACTTCGATGGCATAGTCTCTAATCAGCTCAAAACTCGCTACCGGGTGAACAAATACCTGCATCTGCACGCGAGGTGCAGGGAGTAAAGTAAGTACTCCAACTCAGTGAGTAATAAAGGTAAATAACAACTGATTAGTAAGAAATCACGTAAAGCAACCAACATGCTATATAGAAGCAGGGTACAATCCTTTGAGAAAACAGTGAAGCTGTGAAATCATTAGAAATATCTTGGCTCGGTTTAAACCTCCTTTGAAAATAGTCTTTTCAACAGTTGCGAAATAATTTCAAAACAGTTAGTGCCGATATGCACAGAAATCCGCCCCTCGGGCACAAATACCATAGTATAACAAGTAAAAATAAGTAAGTATGCAAGATGAGCACATAAAAGCTCGCCTCTCGGGAAATATCTCAAAGCAGTACTAGACCCCGGGCTACCTCACGGTCACTCATATCAGCCCCTCGGGCTCACTCTCAGAAACACCCATATCAGCCCCTCGGGCTCAGTATCAATCACTCAGCATAATGGGTACCCGCGCTCACTATGGGTGTGCAGACTCCGGAGGGGCCCCTTACGGCCCAAGCGCTATATCAACATAAGGCCTGAAAGCCTTCTCACATCACTCATAAGGCCTGAAAGCCTCCTCACATCACTCACAAGGCCTGGAAGCCTCCTCACATTACTCACAAGGCCTGAAAGCCTCCTCACATCACTCACAAGGACTGAAAGCCTCCTCACGTCACTCAAGCCACCTCGTGGCATATAAATGTATCTCAGGCCCTTGGCCTCATATCACTCAGCATATCCTCACATATGGCCCTCGGCCTCACTCAGTCCAAAAATCATCACAAGCCCCTCGAGCATTTGTAAAACAGTAGTTCTCAGCCCAAAATATCATTTAGAAATATCATTTAAGTTTCAAATCTGAGTAAAATTGGCTGAATTGTAAAACAGTGGATATCAACAGGACTGAGTTCAAATGATGCGTCAAAACAGTGAGAAAATAGTGATAAAAATCCCCGAAGGGTTCAGATAATTGGCACGAAGCCCAAATATGGCAATCAGCCCAAATCATGATAATAACAAATAAGTTTCAGTCAAATACGCGGTAAAATCATCAATCAGGACGGACCAAGTCACAATCCCTCAACGGTGCTCTACCCCACGCTCGCTATCCGGCATGCAAGTCACCTCAATATAGCACTAGGTGTGCAATCCGGGGTTTCAAACCCTCAGGATATCATTTACAATTATTATTCACCTCGAACCGGCGAAATCTCTAGCTCGCGACGCCTTTGCCCCTCAGATCGGCCTCCACGCGCGTCGAATCTATCCAAAATCAGAGCGAATACATCACAATATGCTAAGGGAACAAAGCCCAAGCGAAAACAATCAATTACGGGCACAAATCATGAAATTACCAAAACCCGAGCCCCGGGCCCACTTCTCGAAACTTGGAAATTTTCACAGCAATAGGTTCCTCATCTCCTCACGAGTTCATACATACCAAAAGTTCTCAAATCCGACCCCAATTGGTCCTTCAAATCCCCAAATCAAATTTCAAAATCCTAAGCCCTAGTTCTTCAATTTTA